ACTTGAAACGTGGCGACTATTTAACTATTTACTATTTAAGTCCCCGTTTCAAACGTATCCGCGCAGCCAGAAACCGTATCATCGATTTCTACACGAATTCACAAATCCGACGAATTCAAAACCAACAATCGATCGGGAAATTGAGGGTTGAGTTTGTTGTTGGTTCTCTCCCTTGCTCCGAGAGGTTTTTCTCCGGGTACTCCGGTTTTCCCCTCTCCTCAAAAACCAACACTCCCAAATTCCAATTCGATCTGGAACGCACGGAAACGTTTAAACGAGTTCATATGAACTCTTAAAAAGCAATTTTTTTTTCATTCCACCGCCCCTTACAAACATATCTTCATGGATTGATGAAAACCGGGTTAGCAAACATTTTGTAATTTCTCTCAACTTCCCTTGTCTTACCTTGTTTACTGTGTTGTTTGCTTAAGTGATTTTTTGTTGTTGTTGTTTTCCACCTTCGGTTTTGCTATTTTGAGCTGTTTTGACCCCGCTGAAACATTCCACGTCGCTTTTCGCCGTGTTTGTTTAAATTCGCCCCTCCCCCCCTCCTCAAATAATCTTATAAACGCGCGCGCGCCTAGTTTGGGTCCCAGGCTATCACTCTTTTCCGAAGTGAGCTATTGAACATGTCAGTTTTGCCCAAATGAAAAGTCCCCTACCCAATCTTGTACCTCGAGTCTTTGTGTCCCGTACTACACAAGCTGGCTTTCGGAACGAGGACGCTGAGTATGAGAGTGTCCCCTACCCTGAACTTCAGGAAGAAGCTCCCGATTCTAATCCAGACGGGCGGGCACTAGAAGCAAAGCCAGATAGACTCGAGGTCGAAGACTTTCGCGGAGTGTTAGTGAGAGTAGACCTCACTAACTGGGAAATTCGATTGATTTATGTTATAGCATTATTGGCTATCTCAAGTATATGCCGTTGGACAGACTCAATCATCTCCGAATGTTAAAAATATAATGTTAAAAATCAGGAATAGGCACTCGAGCTAGTCCCCGTCAATGACAAGCCCGCAATGTAATGTAGGCCAAAATATAAAATCGATATACCGCCAAAAATAATTATCAGCACAATGAAAAAAATAATTCTCAACACTTGTGGTAAAAATAATTCGTGGTAAGAACGAAAAATTGTTTCACAGAACTATATAAAAAAAATAATTTGACTTGATAAAAAATAATTCATGCAGCTAGAAATAATAAGCAACATGTTGAAAAAAGTATTGTGTAGTGATAAAAAATATCAACGATCAACGGTGATCAACGGTCCATGAAAAGTGTAGCCTGCGTGCAGACGATAACTAACCTCTGATTAGTACCGTCTGCGTTGCCTGCGTGCAGACGTCTCCTATTTCCTTTGTTGCAGGCAACGTCTGCGAAGCAGCGCAGAGATCCTTGTTCTGGACCCCCAACGGACTCAACGAATTACCGGAAGTGCGTTTCGAATTCCCCTTCAACCTGATTGGCGATCACGACAAACAAAAGAAAGGCCTTTTTAACTGGCCAATCGTGGCGTGTACTCAAACCTGGGTACACAGCTGGAAGTCCAGAACAAGGATTTCGGCGCTGTTTCGCAGACGGAGTTAACCAGAGTTTAATTTCGTCTGCGCGCAGGCTATGATAAGTGATACACTGGCAAAAATTGACTTACGGTGCAATTTTATTAAAAACGATTTTGACCAGAACGGGCCTCCATGTCGAATAATGCGACACCAAATTAAAACTGCCGTACCAAATTGATGCCGTACTTAATTCACTAGTTAGGTTGGGCACATGAGTAGCCGCCTCCCACGCAGCGGTTCTTAGGGGTTCTTAGGGGTTCGAGGGACGAGGGTCTGCGTGTACCTGCTGCCCCAGAAGACAAAGAAGATTGAACATCAACCATGGTTTAAAAAAAATTTAACCAGAAATCTAATTTGACTTGTAACATATAGATTATATTGAGTATGGCGATTAAATGACGAGGTACTGCTTTTTGTAAACCATGTATAAAAATAGTTTTCTCATGATCAGACAAATGTTAAAAAGGCGCAAAGGCGCTTACTAGAGCAAATAATGATATAAACAATAAGGAATTAGAAAGTAATCAGAGAAGAAAAACAAAACCCCGAAACATAAACAAAATAACGCTAAGACAGTGCTCTCATTTTCAGGATCGTTTACAGTGCCAGGGCCGGGCGTCTCCCAATTGCTAACCTCGTACAGCACAACAAAGGAATGTCTTTGAGCGCTAACAGGTCCAACCTCGGGCTTTTCCGTAGTCCGAAATTCGATTCGAGCAGTTTTTATGTACAGTCTTTCAGTATCTCGAATGTGATTGTCAAGACCGCTAAGATAACTACAGTGTGAATTTATTGCAAATTTTGCATTTATATATACACCCGATCGTTCAGAACGCTAGACCTATTTTAGCTAAGGCGTGTTACATAATCGTAGAGTGTTGTTTGTCATCGGGCGAGTTGACTTTACGTCTGGGTGAAACAACCTCGGAAGACTCGACTTTCGGGTGAAACGACCACAATTCTCGGGAGCTAGAGGGAGAGAGCCCACACGGCTTGAACGGTGAGGTCAAGGGAGGAAATTTGGTTTTATGGGGCTTATAAATTACTGGGAAAGTGTATTATAGAAATAGACATACCCTCTGGTCCGTCTTGCGATATTCTGATATAAGCACGTTGAATTGAATATAATCCATCTTGACAGTCTTCTACAGAACGCACGAACCCTGCCTTTACACCATATTTAACATTCTCGATGTACTGCATTATCGAGTCGTTTAACTGTTTTAGGTGGTCAATGACAAAGTTTAAATCGTCCAAAGTTTTGGGCCGTATTCCCCAGCTCTCGTAGGAAAAATGAGCCTTCAAGTCGTTTCCCACATAACAAATGGGCTGCCAACAGAATTTATTGGGTCCAAGCATCCAGTCACCGGCATAGTAATTCTCGTCGTAGGGCACACCGAAGTTGCTCTGTAGAAAGTGCTTTACTTGGGCTATCGCTTTGATCTCGCGCGGTTTTAGCTTGTCGCTGTCAACGCTCTCCTCGAGATTTACCGCTTCCTTGAACAGCCTTCTAGCTGCGTCCGTCCTGTCACGGATGGCGTCGGGATGAGCATTGTATGGACTGAAGGTTTGTCGAACAGACACAGGGGTCGAATCAGGATCATAAACTACATTGTTAGGACGCATCTTGAAGTAAGTCGATTTTACTTTCTTAAGGAAGTCATCAAGCCCAACGCGGTTAGCTTCATTCGAATAATCGCATGGCTTCGATTGCTTGATTGCCTCTTTCAATGACCGGCCTTTGCTGCAAACCTTCTCATCTTTCGACAGTTCCGTCCCTCCAATTCCAACAAGAATGATTCCTACTAAACAGAGGATTACAGCCGCAGCAATAGCGATGTAATAGGGTGTTTTAGAGGTTGGTCGTACCTCTTTTAAAACGTATTTTTTGTCATCGATCTCCATTCTTGACCACAGCAAGGATACAGAAGGTCAAAGATACCGAGCCTCATAACGGACAATGCATGCGTGACCTACCTCAGTGGTGTTATATTAACAGACTGAGGCTATTTTTAATAACCGTCCCTGTTGATTTGCATATTCAACTAGCGTTAGATGCAGTCACCTGCTGGTCAGCTCTATTAATTGTTTAAAATCGTCTGACCGTCGCGTAAATGTCAACAAACATGAAAAACTGACGAATAAATATTGAATTAGTAAGTAGTTAATTAAGTAATTTAAAAGTAAAAATAAAATCACTCGTCAATAGTCCTTTCTGCGAACTGCAAGACTGTGCGACCGAAAAGTTTGAAAGTATTTTTTACGGGTAGACTGAAGAAAAGCATCAAAACGGGTCATTTTGTCGTAATGTACATTCAGCTCTACACTGGGACGGACATTGGCTGCATCATGAGATCAATTAATATAAACGTATTTTTACCTGAGAAAAGTTGCGTATTACAGTGTCTTCAGCTAATTATAAAAACGACGATTCTAGCGAGCGATTTAAATAAAATGGCGATACAACTGGCCATTTTCATTCAACAAAAAGGACCGAAAGGGAAAGGCTGGGGTATGTAAGTACATACATCGCAACTGACAAGGAAAACATTAAGGTCAGATTTTGCCGCAACCTACCCTTGGAACCTCGATCATAACGAGCCTTCGAATAACGTTCATGTAGTCCTCGAAAAAACGAACGATATTTTTTTGTCCCAGTTATTGTACAGTGGGACCTCGATAAAACAACTGGGCCAAGGGACTGGCAAAATATGTTCGCTATATGACGAGGATTACGAGGTTTCGTTATATAGAGGCTGTTTTCCATATATTTTACTCAGTTATTGGGGCAAAAAATATCGTTCGTTACTACAAAGGACTACGTTATCTAGAGGTTCGTTATATCGACGTTCCACTGTAAAATATATGGAAAAGAACCTCTCTATAACGAAACTAGATTTTGCCAGTCCCTTTGGCCCGGCTTCGTTATACCGAGGCTCCCCACTATATTGAGCTTTTTTTCAAGCGGTACTTCATTAATTTAATTTTTATTGTATATACTCCTTCAGCGGAACTGACTCAACTTAGAGGGAACTGTTGTCTGATTCCCGTAGTAGTTTCAGAGAAGATGACTTTCATTTTGACATCCTGGCCTTACCATTTAAGAAAGTGAATGGGGAAATTTGGCTTCGTTCGGGTTCTTATATGAAGGAGTAAGCTATCACGACGACCACGACAGTGAGAGCGTCTCTAAAAGAATGTGTTTTTTCACGTCGCTGTAGTGTCAGTCGACGAGAAAGAAGTATACCAATGTGATGTAATTGCAGATTGCAGTGCTTAAGCTTTGCCCATAAATCCCCCCAACTCTTTTTTTAATCCTCGTTACCGTAGTCGGTCGTCGTGTTTTTGTGGCTCCCTCATCTTGGCCGCCAAAGAGTGGTTGATCTCGATAATATGAAGAGAAGGCTGCTTTACAGAGCATGGACAACTATTTGCGTTGGTGACTTACTATCGTCCATTGCCCTGACTTTCTGGTATCTCCGTGTCTTCATAGGTACCGTATTTATTCGATTAACCGCCCAGGGCGCTTATTTAATTTTTGGCCCTGAGAGTGGGCGCTTATTCGAGCCTGGGCGTTTGTTAACTTTTTCTGCCTTTAGGATGGGCGCTTATTCGTGGTAGGCGCTAATTCGAGGTTGGACGCTTATTCAAATAAATACGGTACCTTTGATTGCTGAACTGGGTTGGCAAATATTAGGTTGAAAAGCGTTGTTCACCTCTTATACAAAAAACCGACGAAGTCACTCTCTTACAACGTCTTATAGTTTAGCTGAGTGTTGCAAATTCAACCGAAAATTTACAAAATTTCACTTTTGACAATTACGTCTTTTGGATATCACTAAACTTGTGATATGTGTTTACAAAATTCACCAGAAACTGTCCAACAGAATAATACATGTGAAAGTCATTTGTTAAAACCTTCAAAGCAACAAGAAGAAGAGCAAGCACCCTCGAAAAGTCTGTTTTTTCCGCACTTTTTTAGCGTATATTTGAACAACACTTACAGTTCGAGATATAGCTAGTTTTGCTTTTAGCTCAAGTCGTACACTTTAATTTTCTCTCTCAATGGCAATTGACCTGTCCTGATTGTGAATCTCGCCACATGTTGCGTGTACCTGGTGTTCTAGTTCCAAACAAACAGACCTTTAATTTAACAAGACGATGATAATATTCTAAACAATTATCAGGCAACGAATAACTCTGATCAGTAATTAACTTTAGCTTCCTTCACTCTCGAACCAAAAGTAATCTCAGACTGCTTAGTTGAACGGAAACTTGAACGCCACGAATCGGGATAGTCATTCTTTGTTTGATTTCAACTTAGTTAAATTTTGTTAAGTACCTGAAGTTGAAGTTATAAACAAATAAATAAAATACCTTCTGAGGCCCTGAGTAAAGCAATTAAGCCCGACATTAACTGATATAAGCAACGGGATAGAAACGCCATTTGCATGTTTTCGCGCGCTTCACTGGTTCGATCGAGGATATCAACCTCGCCAACTTAGGAATATGGCCCGTGTTTGAACCATGCTTAAAGTCAGAGCTTCCTTCCCTTTTCATTTTCATCTGAAAAGTTCTATGGTAGTCATTTTCAGAAATACAAAGTGCTCTTATCTTTCAGAATCACCTAAAATAGATATTACCTAAGAATTTCTATCAGCACAAAAATAACAGCGTGGTCTTGCCTTGAAATAACGACCAATACTCTACATGGCCATGGAGACGTTAACTTGTTACTACACCAGACTGGTCGGTTTTCTGTTTTTTCTTGGCATAGTCTTTCTACTAACATCCGCATCCGTTAAGTACGACCATAATTCGACTGAACATGGTGATGGCCGTGTTAAACAAAGTCACTGCAGCTTCTCCAAAGAAGCTAAAAGAATAGGCCTAGAAAAATACCTTCAAAAGGTTCTTAACACATATTATGAGCTTCATCCGCAAGACTTGGTTTATAGGCCTGGAGGTGTAACAACAGAGGAACTAAAAGCAAAATTTAGACCATACGATCCAGATCCAAAACATTTGAAGCGAATCTCCGATGTAGCGCGACAGCTTCTAAAGCAACTCAACGCTCTTCGTGTTAATAAAGGGCTATTAAAACTTCGCGAGAAAAAGGCGCTTGCTCAAGTTAAACACTATCTTGTAAACAATTTCGGAACGCCTTATAATGGAGACTATTACGCGGGCGATTTTCTTATGGGACCCAATCTGTTTTGCTGGCAGCCTATATGCGATGTGGGTTATTCTGATATCCGGTATGGTTTGAGTAATTTACGCATTAAAAACTTGAAGGATGTTCAGTTGGTGATCAGTAAAATGAACCTTGTTGAAAAGACGTTCGCGCAGTACATCCATAATTTGAAACTTGGTATTAGAGCTGGAATGGTGCGATCAACTGAAGAATGTGTTGCTGGCATAAATTCATTTCAACGAAGCTATTTTCAAGTGTTTCTTAAAGGGGAAAAAGGTATGTATCGTGAGATCCCGATGGAAGTTGATACAACAAAAATAACCGGTACTAAAAAATTGTTCGTATCCGGCCTATGATATATATGAGATAAGTGTGGCTGTTCTTTGCTTCAATTGCAGGGTTGAGTGTTCCGTTTGATAGGTTCATTTGATTGCTAGTTTTGCTTTCCTCATAATGTAACTGATGGGCAGTCTGCAGGCTAGTTTCTTAAACTAAATAGACTGTAAAACAGTCGGGTTTTTTTGTCTCAAAATCGCCGGGTTTTGCAAGGTGCGAAGCGAGTCGCGAAAGCGTGATATCCTTGCGCAAAGCGCGCGAGCTCCTTTGATGGCTCTCGCGTGCGTTCTCCTACGCGAAAATGCAGGCTGGTTCAGTTTGTGTATAACAAACGTTAACAAAATGTTCTTGAGAGACAGTTGGAGAACGCGTCACTGAGTCGTGAAAGGCAAGAGAGAATTTGGTCCACTCTTAATGTGTGTGTAGCTTTTCTCGGCCGGGTTGTCCGAAGAAAGAGCTTCTTTGCTTCCACTACGGGTAAAGTAGCGAAGATGGCAGTCGTAAGACGCTTAGCACAGCCACAGTCTGTACTCATTACTCATTTGCGGTCAAGAGGACGGTTATCTTTCCTGGTCTTCTTCAGTCACAGTATCACTGCAGTTAATTTTTACACTCTGCGCATAGCCGCATTGACTCGATTGATGATCAAATGATAGAACTAGTTAGATACCATCAGACTTCTAGAGAAAATAGACATTGCCCTCGTTTTGGGTCCGATCAAATAGAAGATAGCCTGCGTAGGAAGTATGTGGGTGAAAGAGAGAACGGGCGCCCGCGAGGGAGACACGCCAGGGGGCGAGGGAGCTAGCTCTCCCCTCGCGTGTCTCCTCCTCGCTCGCCCGTTTTTTCTTGTGCCCACTACATCCAAGCGCCTGCTACGCATGCTAAATAGAAGACAAAGTTCACTTTTTTTTTCATTGCCTAAGTACTCTATTTTGAGCCACGGTCTGAAATAATTTTTACAGTAAAGTTCAGACTCTGATTCCAAATATTCTGCGCATTATCCGGCGTAATATCAATATCATGCAATTCATTATACGTATTGTAGCTTGCTTTGATTTTGCGACTAATTATTAACCGGTAACTTCACTGTCCTGTGACAAAATTTTAGTTCTCCTACTTTTTTTTCTTTATTTCTGTCAAATAGTTTTTTTCAATTCTGTATGTATAGATGTATAACTGTTAATGTATAGTCTTGCAAACGAAGTTTGTAGTTGGTAATCTTAAGATTTTAGCAGCCGAGAGTTGAAATTGGATAAGCCGCCTGCGCTCATCCTGTCTGGAACCAGTCTCTAATATTGGGCCGCTTCATTATTGTGTTCTATCTTGTGAAAAACTATTCAGCTCTAAAATAAAGTAGAGAAAATCACATAGTCTGGTCGGATCATATACGTTTCTAGGAAACTGCCCACCTACCCTTCCCCTAAGCCAACATTTTGCCCTAAGTGAAAAGAAAGTGTGAATGTTGGCTTAGGGGAGGGATAGGTGGGCAGTTTGTCAGAAACGAATGATCGTTTGGTCTGTAGTAGGGTAAGGGTTTCACAAACATGCCGCACCCCACACCTCCATCTGTATTCTCAAGGAGTACTCCTTGGGGGCCGTAACGAGAGAAATGCTACATCCTGAATGGGGCATTCTTCATGAGTGCTCTTTACGCGTGGTTGTCCGTCGAAGTTGGTTTACGAATCTCATTCACATTGATAATTAAGGATCCCAGAATAGTCCAGTATAAAAACTCTTTGCGTCATCGTAGATCGAGAGCAAGCGTAAGGGACGAACAGCGAAGCCGCAAGGAACATGGCCTGCGTTGCAGGCGTCGAAACGGGTAGGATAGGAGGCATAAAAGGAAGAGGTATTGGGAAATGTGGAAAAGGGATGGTTTTTCACTCGAATGTGGCTCATCTGGGTGCGAAGACCGTAGCTCAAAAAGGAGTTTAACATATCAAAGTCATTTCCCACGCAGAAGGACATTAGATATTTTTGACTCTTACATACAGGGGGAGCTAACGCGGTTGCGCAGTAGTATCAAATTAAATTGCAAGAGATGGCGAATCGTCCAAAGAGAGAATTTATGCCCGCCAAAACGTTATGCAGAGCCCGGGGGGAGGACTCCGCATATGAAAGGGGTGGGGATGCTCGTCGGAAATTTTGAATTAAACCCGAAAAGGAGACCGATCTGGGCGTGGCCCAAGCTTTTTTTGACCCCTAAAAGAGACGAAAAAATATACATATGCCCAGAACACCCTAAGTGAGACCAAAATCCGAAACTTACACCCCTAAGCAAGACGACGAGTATCCCCACCCATATGCGAAGTCCCCCCCCCCCCGGGATGCAGAGGAGCAAAATGATCTGAAGCGTTGCAATGCCAAAAAAAAGTCGAAAACGGACAAAGACCTTTACGATATAAAGATTGTATAGGTGGACAGGGAAAGGAAACGATTTAAAATTCATTTTGTTCGGTTGGGTTTGGAAATCAATTCGACGAGTGGCGTGATTTCAGTACCAGAGGTGGACAGTTTCCGTTTGTCCGCTTGGAGAAAAGTTTTGTCCCCGGCGAAGAATCATTGGAGGACAGAAGGCATATTTTTCATGGGCATTTATACCGAGCTGTTAAAAGAAAGATGAGGTCAAGCCGGCGTGAAGACCCTAAGGTCAGGATAGAATTACCCATAGAAGCTGACGTGTTTTCCTGTGATCTCGGTCGGACAACCAAAGTCAACTTTCAGAGACCAGAAACAGAAAAAAAACTGCTTAATTTATTAACAAACGTCAAAAGAAAAATGAGGGGAAAAAAGAATAATCAGAAAGTAAAATGGTTAACTTGATCGATCGACTACTTACTTGTTTATTTGGAGCGTAAACGAGGGAAAATCCCCTTGCCCTGATGTATTTTCCCCGCCTTTGAACCCGTCGGACTCGTCTTCTGTAGCCGTCACGAAAGCAGCAAAGCTTAGCAGTATAGCCAGCACCAAAGCGCTTAGTTCCATATCCATTTTACGTTTTTAATTGACAAAGTTCAACAAACCCGCATAAATTACATATGAAAACGCGCCAAATTTATTGCCCCCGCAGGGATTTCGCCCAGAAGGCGAAATCCCGAGGAGGCACTCTAGTAACTCGCGCGTATATTAAGGAAAGTACTTACAGCTGAAATATACAGTCAGTATGCCAGAAAAATCTTGATTTGCTTGAAGAGGGGCCGCGAGGAATCGGTAGGTAATGATGACGTTTCTACTGTTTGCGCCCGCAAGGACGAAATGGTTAGGATAACGTAAGGACAGAAAACCCGAAGTGACCGCTTAGGTAGATTTTGTGACATTTATTGTGCAGTCGTACTTCGACACTCTTTTGCGTTACGTGTTATCAGTGACATTCTGTAGAGCAGTTGTTTTGAAAGTTATGGACCAAAAGACACTCGTTAAGCGCAGGTGAAGTTATAAGATGCGTATAACTATGTATATATAAACACTTGGAAAGCTGGCCAGACATGAGTTCACAAATCTTTGATTGGAAACTTTACCAGACACTCTTTCTCTCTCTTTGACCGGAATAAGACTCAGCCCCAAACAAGCAAGACGAGTCAATCAACGGCTAGCTTATCAATAGCAGAACGATGGACGATTACAGAAATCGCCGACAATCAAATTCTGTGCTGACTAATTCTCTGCTCACAGATGTCCTTCCACTATAAAGTTTAAAAGAAGACTCGAATGCGCGAGCGTGAATTGATCAAACGTCCTCTTAAGTTCTAAGGCTCACTTACGCGCAAATAAAATGAACTGAATGTAAAAAGTGAAAAATTCAACTTCTAATTAAATCTTTTCTTGTGGTTTAGAATAAACTATTCTCGAAACTGAGAAGCTGAGTAAATCGAACTGCAACTGTGCATGGAACCTTGCGTTTCCTGTATTTATCTCACCTATTGAATGAAATATGGGTGAAAATAGGATCTTGTTTACTGTGGGTAATGTCGACCGAGATATCGGTCGATATAGCGGTCGATATAGCGGTCGACACTCGGTCGATAGTCAGTCGACAGTCGGTCGATAGTCGTTCGACACTCGGTCGACAGTCGGTCGATACTCGGTCGACGCTCGGTCAATCAATCAATCAATCAATCAATCTTTATTTAAACACGGTAAAATCCATCAGGAATTTAAAAAATTAAAAATAACCTAACTATCCTAAACAAAATTCAAAACCTGACTACAACTAATCTAACTAAAACCTGTTTTTCATGAATGCCGTGTATAACATTAAAAGTGAACATTAACTAATCTTTTAAATTGACTAAGAGATTCGGCTTCTCTCACATGACAGGGTAGGCTGTTCCAGAGAACTGCTCCGCTATAAGTAAAGCTGTTTTTCATGAAATTAGTTCGCGGAAATGGGACAAATAGTTTGTTAACAGAGTCCCTCAGGGAGTAACGCGTTTCATTTCGTTTAACAAACTTAGATGATAAATATTCAGGAACAAGGCCATTTAAAGACTTGTATACCATTATGGATTTCTGTATTTGAAATTGAGTGCTCAAGTCTTTCCAATCGAGTTGTCTAATCAAACGGTTAGCATCAGCATCATAGCTAGAGAAGGTTAAAACGCGAGCGGCACGGTTCTGAAGCTTCTGTAGCCTGTCAAATAATGTTTTACCACAATTACCCCAGACAAGATTGCAATAATCGAAATGAGATTGAATTAGTGAGTTGTATATATAGTGAAGGGTAGGTGGAGGGACAAAAGGTCTAATTCTTTTTATTGCTCCAATTCCGGAAGCGACCTTTTTAGATAATTTATCAATGTGTGTTTGCCACCGTAGATTTTCATCAATAAATATTCCAAGCGATTTGACAGAGGAAACGTGTTCTATCGGAACATTATTAATCGAGAGCTCAAGTGGGTTCGACAAAGTACTCAATTTTTGTCTGGAGCCAATTAGCATGAATTCAGTTTTAGAAGTGTTCAAAGTAAGTTTATTGGAAATAAGCCATTTGTTTAGGTTATCTAAATCGTGACTCAGAGTTAACTGTATTGAATTCACATCAACGCCAGCATAAGTAATGTGGGTGTCATCGGCATACATTCTAGGCTGGCACGAAGTAAGGCAGTTTGGCAAGTCATTAAGTCGGTCGATAAAGCGGTCGATAGTCGCTCGATAGTCGGCCGACACTCGGTCGAGACACGGTCGATAGTCGTTACAGATGTGTCTCGGCCGATATAGCTTTTCGTTCACCGACACTTCGCCGATAGTTGATCGATACTTGACCGATGTATCGGTCAGTAATTGGTCGACACTCGGTCGATGGTCGGTCGACACTTGGTCGATAGTCAGAAGATAACCGTTTGATATATCGGTCGAGAGTCGGCCGATAGTCGATCGATATATCGGTCGAGATTTTTGTCGGTC